AACCGCAGCTTCGTTCCTGCCCTGGCAAAGCCACCCCTACGCGGCCGACCCGCAGGAAGGGGCCCCCAGGCTGCGCTGTGTCTGAACCCCCGCAGTCTGGGCCCGACCCCGCGCGGAGCTGACCCGCCAACCCCGCCCACGAGCCCCGATGGTTCGTCCCGGGCCGCGCGACGCCGCGGATGTTCCGGACCCTCCCCTTCCATCACCTCGCGGTCTGGCGCGAACTCGCAGATGTGGGGTGTCACCTGAAGGTAATTCAGTCTATATCCGTGAGCCTTAACCCCTTAAGGCCCTGCGTGTTTTCTTATATGCCTGCCTAACGATTGGGGTTACTGCTACTTGCACATTTTTTAATCTTTTTCAACAGAAAAGTGACATTTCTTTGTGTTCAACTAAAACTCAAAAATGGCCCTCTCTTTTGAAAAGTTATTCTGACCGGACGAGAACATTTGTTTTGTTTTTTTTCCCCCCTCATTCATTCCAAAATATGTATGGGCGTGGCTGTGGGTGAGTGGTCAGGGTGGTGGGTCAGGAGATCCCTGGGGTGATTCTGGGGCAGGTTTGAGTCCTGCTGCTTATCAGGGTTCTCATGACCTGATATTACCGCAAGAGCTTGATACTCATCTAATGATGTCAGACAAAGAAATGCTGATAACAAAATATGTATGGATACATCGGGGAATGTTAGCTTGGGGCAGCAGGCATTTGTCTGTGTTCACTGCTGAATTTCCAGCACCTAAAATAGTATCTGACACAAAGTAGAGTGACTGACTGGTTATCTAAACATCGGCTAGGCACTTGACTTACAGGAAACTCAAGCTAAAACGGACGCTGTTTTCCTGCATCTAGTGGTAGAGATATCCCACAAAGGAATGTGTATATATATTTTTAATTTGTTGATTTGAGAGAGAGAGAGAGAGGAAAGGGGGAGAGAGAGACATCGATTTGTTGTTCCTCTTATTTATGGAACAACATTGGTTGCTTCTTGTATGTGCCCTGACCAGAGATCAAACCCGAAACCTTGGCATATAGGGACGATGCTCTAACGAATTGAGCTACCCTGGCCAGGGTGGGTATGTGTATTTTATTTATGTAAAATATTGGTCTTTATATTAAGATGCATATATTAATTTTAATAAATACACATTTATGTTTACTTCATTTATAAGTGAAGGTATCACCTATGTGTTTATCTTGCATAATTATCTTATAGTCTCCTCCACACCTTGTTATGCTATGACTCTGCTCAGACTGTAAAGTTTGCCTGGAATACCTTCCTCCCATATCCTTAGATAGGGCTAACACTTATTCATTCTTTAAGACTCTACATAACCATGACTTCCTCCAGGAAGCCATCCCTGACCCCTAGGCTAGGCACTACTCCTATTCTACTCCCATTTCTATCCCACTGGCAAAATTGTCTCTATCCTGTTGACCAAGGGCTCCCTGAGAGCTGGCCCGGTTTCTTGCTTGTCTTTATATTTTTCCCTCCAGACACAATGTCCAGCACTTAGTAGGAACTCAATAAAGGCCTAGTATGAGTCCTGGCCGGCTAGATCAGTTGGTTAGAGCATCGTCCCTATATGCCAAGGTTTCGGGCATCACCCTGATACACCAAGGTTGCGAGTTCAATCCCCAGTCAGGGCAGACACAAGAACCAACCAATGAATGCATAAATAAGTGGAACAACAAATTGATGTTCCTCTCTTTCTTCCTTGCTCTAAAATCAATTTAAAAAATGAGAGAGAGAGAGAGAGAGAGAGGCTAAGCCACTTTGGGATGAAAGCAACTCTCCAGTGCCGTTTGGCCTTGCTGAACCTGCAGCTTCAGAAACCAGTACAGGCAATAAGTGGCAGGGAATAGCATCTCTGCCCCTAGGCTTCTGGTCAGTGGTGCTGGTGCCAGGATGTAGCTGAAAACGCTGATTTGGCTGCTTGTCACAACAAAAGCCAAACTCATGAGATAGGTGCTGGGGCCAAAGAGGTTTAATGTGTTATGAGACCTGGGAGAATGGTGGACTCCCACCTCAAAGACCATCTACCTTTCCTGCTCAAGCTCATGGTTCTTACAGGGATGTTACGGAAAAACTCAGATTGAACACCGGAGGAGGCAAAGTGATACCTTTATTTCACGCATGCGGACCCAGAGGAGGCAGTCTCCAAATTCTGGGCCCTGAACTGTGAGCTCAGCATAGCTTTATGGGACTTTCCTGTGGCGTGAAAACAGTGGGCGGAGTTACAGAAGCAGGATATGCATTCGGTTGGGCAAGCAAAAATTCAAAATGGAGCGGCTCATCTAAAATGGCAGCAGATTCCTTATCATTTCCCCCCTTTGATGCTATTAGTTGTTGTTGCAACTATTGCATCATGATACATGTCCATATTCCAGGTTCTCGGATTCCTTGAGCCTCTGATAATGGACCTTCTGGAGGGCTAAAATCTTGGCAGTAGCTCTTCTGGTAACAGTGTTCTCTAAGGTATGGATAATTGTTCTAACGATATATGGAGCGAGGCTTTCTCCTATAAGAATGACAAGAATAGGCCCGATTAGTGGGACGAGCCATCGGGCCGAAGCCTGGGTGTTGAGTCCCCAATTCCAGTTCTGTGCCTCCTTTCTGCTATGCTGTATGCTCTCTCTTAGCTCTTTTCACCTTTTGCATTATCACCCCACACTGGTTAACAAAATAACAACATTCTTCACCTAGGAATACACATGTTCCTCCTTTTTCAGCTGTGAGTATATCTAAAGCTCGTCGATTCTGTAGGGTTACCCCGGTGAGTGAGTTGATTTGTTGCTGGATGGTGGCTAAAGAGTTGGCCACTTTCTCCATGTCCGTGCTCAGCCTCTCAGACAGTTTGTAATATGTAGAGGCCGAAAGACCTAGTCCTCCTATGCCTGCGCCTACACCAGCAGCTATTCCTAGTCCTGCCAGCACAGCAATCCCAGCTGCTCTCCCGGTCCGCCCTGACATTTCCCTCGGTTTGAGTGCTGCTTGTATTTCCTGACTGGTCTTTAGGCTGATTCTGGGTACTAGGAATACCTCTACACATCTCCCAGTCCAGCTGGCAGGAAGGCACCGGTGGGCTTCCCTTCCACATAGGAGGAACAGGCCGGGCTCTGCACAGAGACTACTATTGTTGGGGATACTGAGGTTGTGGGTGCAGAGCCCAGGGTTTAGAGTCCCTATCAGGATCGTTCCTGGTGAGGTCTCCTGGGGCACTAAGCAGGTGATGTTGGATCCTCTGGGATCCAGGAAAACATCGGTGGCGACTGGCCCCAGCGTGAGTGTCTGATTGGGGCCAGCAAAAGGCCGGGAGGGACTCCATGTATTAGGAACTGGAATTCCCAAGAGTTCTTTCTCCCTAAAAGGGAGACAAACCCAGCATTCCTTCGTGGAGTTGCTTGTATTCTGATATGCTGAGTAGATGATTTGTATTATGCCCTGGGCCTGTAAAGTTGGCCTCAATTTCGGTAGGGTCCTTTGGAAGTTCGGGAGGTTAACCCCCTTGTAGGTTGTTTCCTGTTGTCTCAGCCTCTGGGTCACTGCCTTGAGTGCTGCTTTCCTGGCTACCTTAAATTCTTCCTCATTCATGTGACTCAATGGCCGTGCAAGGCCCCAGCACACCCGCCTGCCGGGCGGCCCATATGACTGACATTTCTGAGCTTGGTAGCCTACGGTCCCTGCCATGATTCCTGTCCAGTAGACTTTGCCATCCCATATGCATTGTTCTCCACCTGGTTTTACACAATCTTGAGGCATGTACGTACTATGGGTAAAGGGGCTTGCCGGAAACAAGTACATTGCAACACCCCCTGCAAGCCTCATCCTCTCTTTTGGTGTACTGCACCGGCATTGTGGAACAGTTACAGTGGTTGGGGTAGTTACAGAAAGCAAACTACATAGCCACATGAGCAAATAAAACCAAGGTATAGTCCCCCGAGAGCCAAACGTTCCCATAAGTTCCAGTCCTGAGGTGCCGTTGTCACTAGCCCTATTCCGAAGATGGTGGTGAGGAGTCCTGCAGCTGCGAGGTACCATTCTGGACAATGGTCCATCCACAGGTTGGTCCCTTTCTCAGCTTCAGTGGGGGCCGCCGTTGGGACTGGTCCTCAGAATCTTCGTTGGCCTCGGGATCCGCTGCTCCCTTAACCCGGGTGTGGTGGACCCAGGGTGCCGTTCCTGCAATCTTAAGTGCAGTAGGGGTTGTTAATATGATCAAGTAGGGCCCGGTCCAAGTGGGTTGGAGTGGTTCCTTCTTCCAGTCCTTAACCCAAACATTATCTCCTGGCTTAAAAGGGTGCGCTGGCCCCCCTCTAGGGACTGGGTCAAGGCCTAGTCCGGCTCAGTGTATCTGTTCTAATGTTTTCCCCAATCTCTGAAGATATTTAGTCTGGTTGACCTCCCCGGTTACCCGAAGCTCCCCTCTAGGGATGGGTAGTACTGCTGGCAGCCTTCCGTACACCAGTTCAAAGGGTGTATAACCTGTGGAGTTAGGGGCGTTCCGGACCCTAAGGGAAGCAAATCAGGCCAGGGCAGGTTGGTTTCTTGGTGGAATTTCGCCAGAGTTTCCTTCAGGGTTCGATTAATTCGTTCTACCTTCCCTGAACTCTGAGGTCGGTATGCAGTGCGCAGCTTCCAGGTTATCCTCAGTTGCTTTGCTAGCTCTTGAATGACTTTGGCGACAAAAGCCGGCCCATTATCGCTACCTATGGACATCGGCAGCCCAAAACGGGGGACTATTTCCCGTAGGAGGATCCTGACTACCTCCTGGCTTTTCTCAGTCCGGGTGGGGTAAGCTTCCACCCACCCCGAGAAAGTGCAAATTAGGACTAGCAGGTATTTATAGCCTCGGCTCGGTTTGACCTCAGTAAAATCAACTTGCAGATCTTCGAAGGGCTGTTGCCCCCTGTGCTGTGCGCTGATGAACCTCTGTGGGTGAGGGGTGGCATTATTCCGAGCGCAAATTATGCATCGGGCCACAATCATGGCACAGATACTGGCTAGGTTGGGGAAGTAGTAATACTTCTCAAGCAAAGCCTCCAGGGACGTCTTCCCTAGGTGAGTCAGGGTGTGGCATTGCCTTACTAAGTTACTCGCCTGGGTCTGAGGTACATAGAGCCGTCCGTCTGGCAGTTCCCAAATACCGGTCGCAGTCTGTGAACACCCCGCCTGTATCGCCCATTTCTGTTCCTCGGGAGTGTAATCTGATTGTGTAGGGCTGAGGTCCAGTAGAGGGGCCGGGACATCAGC